GGATGTTTCATCCAACTTCCCATTTCAGAAATCTTAAAATTATCCTTGAATACTCACTCCTTCCTTTCTCCACAACACAAATTTTATTTAAAGACTCATATGGATTTATTAACTTTAACTTTCTTTAATATGTTTGCTTTTCTTATTCCCACTGCCAACCAGCATAATTTTTTTTCTCTAATTATCAGGATCCTCCTAACAAGTTTCCTTCTTAAGTCTCTTCTCCTGCCTTTTCCAAGCCCTGTAGACTTCGTGAATGGCATTTACACAGTGAAAATCTGACAGGACACTCACTGATGAAAGCCTCTCAGTGGCTCCCATTGCATCCAGAGATCAAGTCTCCTTAGCATGATGTATAAATCTGTCTTATGCTTGCCTTTTCTTATCTAATGCTCCAGTTCTATCATTTCTGTGTTGTCTTCTTCACGCTCCTTGTTTCAATCATACCAATTCACATATTCTTTCTTGCCTCTGGGTTTTTGCTTGTTTGTTTGTTTTTTACATTCTGGTCCTTCCTGAGCAGATTCATTCTTCCCCACTCCCTGCTTCTTGAGCCTTCTCCATCTCTTAATGGTGCTTCTGTGCTAATCCTTTACAAAGTCAAGTTAGGTGCTACTTCTCTGTATTTGCATTTGTAAATTTACTTACTTTTAAAAATGTATACTTCAAGTTTAATTCTTATTTTCCTGTTGGTGTGGAGTAAGAAGATCCAATTCAATGTAAATTTGATAGATAAGTAGATTTCACATTCCTATATTTTCACCATAAAACTAAGGTCATGATATATCCAAGCAATATCTTCAAGTAACATTTCTCTAATTGCTCCTGCCTGGAATCTCTTTGAAGCTCACATAATTTTCCATTGTCTGACATTGCTTCTACCAACCCATATACAGAAGCATAGAGGAGACCCTACTCTGAAAGGAAGAGAAGCAGGATCAAGGGGGTACTTCTCAGAAAGACAAATGTGTGGGCATAGCATCTATCTATATCTTCAAGCATATATGAGTGGTCAAAGAGCCACTCACTTCCTCCTTGGAAAGTGAAGTAATGGGCCTGCACATCCCCTCTCTCTCCCCAACTCCCACCACTACTGTCTCTGGGCTGTAATTTTTTGGTTGAGAAATATTCCTTTCAAAGTCTGAAGCATCACTGACTTTGGTTTTTATGTGAAAATTACTCATCAGTTTTGAGCAGATGACCCAGCCTCCTGCTTAGAATAGTAACTTTACCCAGTGTCTGAAGTCATGAAAGACAAGGAAAGACCAAACATCTGTTCCCGATTGAAGGACACTAAAAAAATGTGATGGCTGAATGCAACACATGATTATCAGTAGGATCCTGGGCCAGAAAGGAAATAGGAAAAGAGAAGTTTGGGATATTGTGAGTGTGTGTGTGTTTGGTTTGGTTTGGTAAGAATTAAAAATACTGCTGGGACAATTAGTAAGGTCTGAGTGGGATCTGTGGATTGGGTGGTGGCATTGTTATTGGTGCTGATTTCCTGATTTTGATGAGTGTACTATGGTAATATAGGAATGGTCCTCATTTGGAGAGGATTGGGGCAACATTTCTCAACTTACTCTCAAATGGTTCAGCAAAAAATAGCTCACTCTCTCTCAATAGAAAGAATAAGTTATGACTCTGAATCATTTTTCAGGTTTAATACTGTATATACCTTGAAATTATTGTATTAACTATGACATCTATTAAAATAGATAATTAAAATTGATCAATGAATACAGTAAGGAATGTGATATTGAGGAGGTATCACTGCATGTGGAAACAAAAACCTTAAGATGCTTTATAAAATCTAGTGTGAAATAATGTGTAGTAGTAAACTACCAGATATGTTTCAGAATACTTTTGTACCTTCCAGTACATATTTAACTTTACCAATGTCTATCATCAGTGGATAATGTGGCATCTCAAAATTAAAAAATATTAAAAACTACTTGGTGTCTTAAATGTCACAAGAAAGTCAATACCATATAGAAAATGAGATGTTGGAGGAGTATATAAAAATTAGATAGTGGGGAAATAATCATTATAACAATCATGGAAATAAGACAAGTAATTTTAACAAATTTTTCTTTAACAAATTACCATATTCTGGTTTCTTCACTATGATTAAATTTTTTTACTTGAAGAAATAGTGCTTGCTTTTTTATATAATCAAATAAATGTGCCCATCATGGAAATAAGACAAGTAATTTTAACAAATTTTTCTTTAACAAATTACCATATTCTGGTTTCTTCACTAGGATTAAATTTTTTTACTTGAAGAAATAGTGCTTGCTTTTTTATATAATCAAATAAATGTGCCAAAGGCTAGTGGTGGTAGCAGCAGGAATAGCAGAGAACTCTAAGCTAAGAAGGAAGAATTTCACAGTAATAATTAGACACTGAGAAAGATGAAGAGAGTCTGAGAATCCCTCCTCCATCTGATATTGACCAGATTGAAAGACCTGTCATAGGTCAGGAGAAGACAATGTATTAACCCAGTCTTTAGTCACTATTAGATAAAGAACATTATTGAGGAGAACAGCCAGTTAAAAAGAAAAAGAAAAAGAAAAAGAAATGTTTATTCCTTTGTCACTCACTTATAAAACATTTACTGAACACTTACAATATTCTGGGCACTGTCTTAGGGACACAGGGGTGAGTAATAAATGTTTTCCACTCTTGATGTACTCAGAATATTTCAGAAGACAGCTGGGGGATAACTAGTTACAATACTATGATATACTTATAAACTTCTTATATACTTCTGTATCTCTAATATACTCCTATTAAAAGTATAATTGTATCACACTGTAGGGATCACCAAGCTCTGACCCACTTTCACAGAGGAAGAGATGTTGGATGCTGTGCACAAGGCCAATGGCACATGACACATGTACTTGGTTGTGTGAAGGTTCAAATTAGCCATTTGGTGAAGCTATTTACAAAGGTGTATCAATTATGAAGGCTTAATCTACAAGTTAAAAAAAAAAACTAGGCACAAAACTGTTTAAATAGTAATTGAATTTATGAACTCACAAGATATAATTCTAGAATTAAAGTGGCTGCAGTTGCTTTCACCTTTCTGCTCTACCATCCTTTGTTTGGGCTCCATCTTTGAGTTGTCAACAAAATGGATGCAGCAGTTGCAAACAACATGTAACAAAGCAAAACATGCGGAGGAAGAAGAGAAACCATCTCTTCTTCTGGCTCTCTCATAGGGGAGGAAAATTTTATGAAAGCCAAAAATTGACTTCACCTTTCACCTTATAAGCCAACTGAGTTCAAAAATGGACCACAAGATTGATGTCTGAATCACTCTACAGCAGGAGAATTGGAACCACAAGGATGATTACACTAATGACAGACCCATGCCATACCACCCCCCTGGCAAACCTGCATAGCCATGCTTGCTAACTTCCAAGCAGAGAGTGCATACACGTCTAGAACCAGTAAAGCAAAGTCTAGTAACTTGCCCTACATTTGAACATCACCTCTGCATGTACCTAAAACTGCTGAAGCATTTATTTTGAGCATGGGTCTCAGTCTCCTGTAATTGACTCTAGGATTTTGCTTACCCTGTATTGCCCTCTAGATATTTTAATAACTTTTCCACTTGTAAAGATATCACATTATAAATTTCTTCTTTACAAGGTTTTACCTAAAGCAATTTTTTATCCCACTTAAGTATTACTTTGTGGTGCCAAAACACCAAATTCTTGTTTGTTTTGTCCACGAAGAGATGGTTTGAATAAATATTTTTCTGAGTTGAAGGAATATTTTACACAAAGCAGATAAAAGTATAAATACTCTTCTTCTGGACACTGTAACTTTCCAGCATCTTCAAAACAACTGGAGTTCAAAGCTGTGATGTAAATCTGTAGCCCCTGAATCTAATCCTTCTTAGTAAACTCAGTACCTACAAAGTCCACTTCTGTTACTTGTGTTGCAGAAGATGATTTCACGAGTAATTGCACAGAGATTTAAATTATTTGCTGTCTTTGTCTATTTTTTAGAATGCAGATGTCAAACATCATTTTTCTCCCAAACTTCCCAAAATTTGCCCTAACAATTTTAAATGGTATCTTTTCATGTTAAGATTACTTTGTAAGCATGAAGATGAATTTTCCAGACATGAGCTCCACCTCCTTTTTAAGGCTTAAATCACAAACCACTATTCAATGATAATTGTGACCTTTCTTCCCAGTCCTCAATTACCCTTGATTAAAAACAATGGTAATAATAATAATAATAACCTAATCTCACTCAAAGCAACTGTAGGCATTTCGGTTACATTAACTAGTATCAATCCATCAATGCTGCGAGGAAGGGAAGGGAAGATATTATTTTAATGAAAAGGATGTTCTGGCACTGTGACTTGCCCAAACAAAAAAAGCTGAGGTGGACCAAGCAAGGATGTCCTTGTCTTGGGTGGGAAAACATCCCAGCCAGTGTTCATCAGACATTTGTCCGGATATTTCATCAGGGTTGACTCAGTATTCATAGTTTAAAAAGCTAATCTCTATTGAAAATCGTCTCCATTTCACAAGTAATACTTATCAGGTGATTCTTGGGTGAGTCTCTTTGCTAGAAGCTATAATTGTTGACCTGAGTTCAACTTTACATGTTAATTTTCTGTCTCTTAACTTGGAGATAAAGTGAGTCAAATGCTGGTGCCTAGAATCTTTAGTCTTTTAGCCCATTGTTCAGCTCAAAAAAGTCACGTGATGAAGATGCTGTTTAAATTAAAGCTACTGGTGGCACTGCTAAGCCTACATTTCTATGGTTTTCAGTCGTGAGTACCTCTTCTCAGCAAGCTTTCCATCATTAAAGTGAGTCAAATGCTGGTGCCTAGAATCTTTAGTCTTTTAGCCCATTGGTCAGCTCAAAAAAGTCACGTGATGAAGATGCTGTTTAAATTAAAGCTACTGGTGGCACTACTAAGCCTACATTTCTATGGTTTTCAGTCGTGAGTACCTCTTCTCAGCAAGCTTTCCATCATGGTTGAGCCCTTCTTAGGGACCTGGAAGCTGGTGTCCAGTGAAAACTTTGAGGATTACATGAGAGAACTGGGTAAGAAATATTACAAGATTTGGAGACCGGTGAAGCATTTCGTGATGCAGTTGGGTTTGCACTTCACAATGAATTTTTCTACAATTCTCTCTTTTGTTTGTGATCCTATGGTTTATTCATATGAGACTAACACAGTTTATGAATCTACTTTTCCTTTTTACTTGTTACTACTAATAATTGTCTCTTTTTGGAACACTGAGCCCACAAATATCTCTCTCTAGTCATAATCCATATATTTAAGCCTATATATCCTTTTTGAAAATATTTTATCCTAACCTCTAGATAGAGTTTCTCTTTAGCTGGTCATTTCATTGAATACCTTTTTTCAACTACAAATCTGTAGACAGTAATTATCATCTATAATTAAATTTATTAATGAAATTTGTTTCAAGGTTTGTCTTAAGTTATAACTTTAAAGGAGCAGTAGCAAAAACCAAAAATTTTAGTTGGTGAATTTTTAGAGTTCTTATATATGTGAGAGATATTTCTAAAACATTATTTTGAAGAATTCTGGATTTTGATGTGAGAAACAGAACATTTTTACTCTCAGAAGTATAAACCTTATCTATCCTTTTATCTCTGACTCAAGTTAATTGTGAATTATAAGGACTTGGGTCTATGACAGCTAAACTATCATAGAGAAGAAGAACAATTACTTAATATTTTTATATTTAATTAAGAGAAACCTTCCTTTCAATTAGAAACTGTATACAAAGCCAAGTGTTTTCTTACCTCACATTTTTTAAAACTTGTCTGAAATGATCAGTGGATACTTACCACTATTAATTATGTTTACTCATTCTAGGCAAGAAAACAACAATCCCTTATCCCCCCATAATAAGAAGTCAATGTTCTTATAAATGTAATATTTGTTCTTCTTTTGTAGTCAGTATAAACTTTCTCAGGAAGTAATAAGAAATAGGTTTCCCTATCTCATCATGGATTTATAGACTCACTTGTTTTGAATTAAAATGTGAGGGCATATAAGAAACATGGGGCTTGTGGCCAGAGTAGCACTTGTTTTGATTGGCAGCTGGGTTAGGCATGACACAAGAAGGAATAACACCTGAGCACCTACTTTGTGCCAGTACCATGCTAAGTCCTTTTTCTCAATCTTTAAACACATATGTGAGATGAGTACTATAGTTACCCACATTTTACTATTGAGAAAGCCGAAGATTAGAGAAAGTAAATAACATGCCCACGCTAGCATGTGGCAGGGTTCCAGTCCAAGCTTTAACTGCCTCACTCTTCTTTGTGATCCATGTGTCTAACATTGCTTCTCTGCAGTGAGATGCGTCACATCAGTTCCATAGTCTGAATGTAACAAAGAGTTCCATATCGACACAGAGAGAAGGAGTCAGCACTTCTGCCCATCTATTGAAGGAGTTAATTTTGACAACAGAAAATCCCCAACCTGAACAATAGCGCCAGGCTCAAAGCCAAACACCTCCTGCACTGTTGTAACATGAGGTGACACACAAGCATTTGACCACTCGAAAGTCACCATACAAATATGCATTTCAGATGAAGCACAATGGTCTCAGAAAATGAAGTTAGCCTTTGAAAATGTCAGATATAATTACTAGATAACCTTGTGACTGGGAGGACCTGGCTTAATCCAGATATCACAGAGAGCGTAAAAGAAGTTACTGTACATTATTCAAAACTTCAATGGGGGGAGTATGCATTTTTCAAAAAGTGCTTTCCAAAATGATTAACACTGAGACTTCCAATCAAGATAGTGGAATAGACCAGTCCCCAGCATCACCCTCTCCCACAATCAACTATTAAAAAGCAACAACTGTCAAGATGGGGCCACTAGAGCTCAGGGAAAGAGGGGGAGAAACCCAGAGTTCATGAAGGTGGGAGAAGCCATGATGAGAGAAAGAAAGGACTGCTCCGACTGTTTCTAGCCCCAGCCACTTCAAGCTTGGCCCTGGTGAGCACACGGAGCAAGAGCTGGTAAAAGCCATAGCCATAGCTGTGCCCTTCATATGAAGTTGCTTGGAGGCTGCAGGGGAGAAGACGGTCTTGGTGGTACCCAGGCCAGCAAGATCACAAATAGGGTTCCTGTGGAGCCACATAGGAGCAAGGAGCCAGAGACAACTAAAAAAAAGAACCTGTCAGAGGCCACTGAGTCAACACAAGGAATCAGCACACGGCCCGTCCCATGGGAAGTGCTTGGAGCACAGGCAGTAGGGGAGACGGACCCACTGGGGGAACACTGGGGCACAACATGGACAGCTGATCTGTCCCCCAGTCAGCACAGGCCCACTCAGTGGAGCCTGGTCAGGAATATAGAACTGCAACGATACAGTTTGCTGAAAAAACTCAGGCCCAGACCAGAGTTTCCACACAACCCAGGTGTACCAGACCTCACAGAGACCCAGAAGTCATTACAAGGTCAACAATTAAAACCTGATCTGCGTAAAAAGCCTTCCCCAGGGAATCAGCAGCTCAACCACAGAGCTAAACCACAGTGCTGGTTCCCACAGGAAGTCCCCCCATTTTAGAAGTAACCAAATTAGTTCCAGTGTGGAGTTTAAGTGGTGGGAATAGTGAATAATCGATCACAGAACTGAAAGAAAAAACAAAAAACTCACAGATCAGAGACACCGGTAAAGGTCTAACACCACCAAAGAACACCTATAAAACCTCCAGAAGACCCCCAGGCTTCCAAAATGGGGTGGGGGGAAGGCTGAGGACCTGAGCCATGCCCCCCTGATATCTGCATCCAGCCCAGCGATGACCACCAGGCTGCTGCCAGAAGCACCCTGGGCTCCTGAGCCAGGGCAGTGGGGGTGCTGAGGGCCTCACCCATACCCTGCCAGCATCTGCATCCAGCCCAGCTATGAATGAGCTGCCACTGAAAACCCCCTGGGCTCCCCTGCAGGAATGAGGGGCGTGCCACAGGCCTTGGCCATGCCCGCTTTCTCCTCCTCCCACCTTATCCTTCTCCCCTTTCCCTCTCCCCCTCCCCCAACTGCTCTGCAACATCTTAGAATGTAAAATAATAATAATAATAAATTTATTTATTTATTTATTTTTAAAATGGTTAACACTTCTTCCCAAATGTCTTGGTAAGGTGTGTGGCTTTCTCTGTCTTACAGGAGTGGATTTTGCACCCCAGAACGTGGCAGGATTAGTGAAGCCAACCATCACTATTAGTGTGCATGGAGAAGTGATAAAGTTAAGAACAGAAAGTCCTTTCAAAAACACTGAGATCTCCTTCAAGCTGGGGGAAGAATTTGATGAGACCACAGCAGACAACCGGAAAGTAAAGGTCAGAACTAAGTCTTCCTGGTGTTCAACAATCAGAAAAAAGCTAGAAAAAACTAGGAGGTGATTAGGCATGGGTTACTCTATGTATTTTAACGTACTTATTCCCAGGTCTGTTTGAGCTTGTTCTGTTAATAGCTGCATATCTCTAAAGTCAATTCTTTTGCTAATTACTCAGATGGTTAACAACAGGGTAAAACATTCAAATTGTTTTCACTTTTTTTCCTGATATCTCTTTGTCATTGTATAAAAGAGGATGCTTCAAAAAGTAAAAGATAAGACAAATCCTTCCATAAACTTTTTGAAGACCTCTCCTATCAAATGAAACAATTTAGCACAGATAGTTTAGGTATTGTTTGCCTGGTAGAGAGCATTAATTGAGTAATCTCTTGAGCCTTTTTCTAGTTTGGTGGTATTTGGTATTAAATTATAACAAGAATAGAAGTGAGGATTTTTGAAGAAAAGAATTTCAAAATAGAAATTAAAAAGAAGATGTCTCATTTTGTGTAGGTTAGAATGTACTGAACTGCTACTTCTAACTGCTTCCCTCATGCATTTATAGAGCATTATAAACTTAGATGGTGGCACAATGATTCAGGTCCAAAAATGGCTTGGCAAAGAGACAACGATCAAAAGAAAAATTGTAGATGGAAAAATGGTAGTGGTGAGTTTTCTTTAAATTGAAATTTTTATATGCTCCTATGTGATACATACTTTTCAAGCTACTATGTTTTTGTACCTTGAATTGAGGGTTTGGTCTGGGGAGAAAGGGGCAGGGAAAGTTTAATCTGTCATCTACCGACTCTAATAGATCATCACTCTTTGTTTTTAGGAATGTACCATGAATAATGTTGTCAGCACCAGAATCTATGAAAAGGTGTGAAGAAAGGGTCTACAACAATGAAACTTGTTCACTAACAGGAAACTGATACTTGAGAAGATATACTTCAGGGCCACTGATTTTTAAAAATTCTCAATATAAATTTGTTTAATAAAAGCATCAAATTAAGTGCAGTTTTGAAGTTGTTCACTAATGAGGGTTAGGAACAATCTGATAAATTGGTGAGGCAAGAAGCTACTTGCCTATGGTGTGATTGTAACAATACAAAAGTCTCCTCTGTCTTCTGCCCACCTGACTTCCATAGCCCTTGAGTTCTCACCATAAGACCCTTTGCATTTAAGTTAAGGCATTCTACCAAAGACATGTGGAAATTCATGTGACCTCCAAGGGAGATATATATATAGCATTGGAACCTACTATGAGCAGCACAGGTGCTGAAAACCAACATTGCTGATCTTTATTTTTGCAGAAGCCTAGCCCTGCTTAAAGCAGATAGATAGATTAGAAGATACATAGACAGGTAGATAGATAGGTAGAGAGAGAGAGAGAGCACAAAATAGAGCCTGGACATTATACACCACGGTTGAGTAATTATCGAAAAGCATTTAAAAATCATTATCTCACTTCTCCATAAATCCACTTAAAATAATCAGGATAGTGCACCTGTCACCAATGTTTACAACTGAGCCAAATGTCAGTCCTGAATTTCTAAATGCCTAGTAAGAATGTAACTATTATATTCTTAATAGTTTCACCAGACACTGTTGCCAGGAATGGTTGTGCTCAGGGCTTACAGCAAAACAGAGTAATGGAGGTAAAATTAAAAGGTAAAGCCTAAAATACTGAGTGCATCTACAGATAGTAGTGGTCAGACGTAAGAGTCATGTTTAATATGCACTCGTGTAGGATGTCCATGTAATTTGTCGTCCAAACTGGTTGAGAAGTTAAAAGTGTAAAGGGAAACTATTAAGAATTACATGTGGACAGCAGACATAAACTGGGATTGTCCTAGGCTAACTGGAAGTTATGTTTACCTTAGTAAGGATGAAATTGAAAGATAATGAACACAAGTACTAAAGCATGGTGTTGGAGCATGAACTGAATCCCCGGCCAACAAAAGGAACTAGGGCTGTCATATTAAACCCTGAAGACCACTGAGCATGCAGATGTGCACTAGAAGTCATGAGCCCAGTGCTGACCACGCATCTGCTGGATGTGGCTATGACAGTCATCCGCACAGAACTTGTCTTTCCCCTTCCTAAGGAACTCAAGAGTGTACAAAATGTAACCATGCTTGCTCTTCAGAAGTCACAGAGGCTTCAACCCCTGTGGTGGTGTCCTGGGCAAAGGGGAGTGTGGGCCAGTGCCTTCTTAATCAGCCTCTGTAAGGGAGCTGGAGATGATAAAAAGTGATAAAACTAGTTGAGAATTTAATTCAAATTCACTATAGCATTCTATCTTTTTACATTAAGAAATAATGTCAGGACTCTGTGCACCATGATTTGAATGCCCTGTGACAGAGATGGTCAATTACCCACTAGAAATCTGGGGCTTCCCTTCTATAGCATAGCACTGTTGCTGGTAAGAGGCTGTAAGCCAGGCACCACACTGCCCAGTCTCTCCCCTATCTCCACAGAGCCTTTTGACTACTTTTTGCATTGGAATCTGAGTGAAAGTGATGTGTGCCACATCTAGGTCAAGACAGTTAAGAGACAATCCTGGGCCTGCCTGCTTGGAAGAGAAGACTGTGAAACCCAAGGAGGTAGCATAGGCACAGATAAATGGATCCAAGACTTCTGACTCACCTGATGGAGAAAAGCTACCCATAGACTAGGAGAGCCTACATTAGACTGAGTGGATGTTGAGCAAGACAAACTTCTGGGTTAAGCCACTAAAATCTTGGAATTCCTTGCAACAGGGAGCATTACTTTGAGTTAATGTAAAACTTAAGAGATTTCATTTTTATAGTGTATCCTCAGTCATGAGCATGTTTTAGGCTGGAATTTAACTACAAAATTAGTTTTCAATTGTTTGAGGGAATAAGGGCTTGGTTGGCATGAATAAAAGAAAGCACAGTTTAAACATGAATTAAATTGATTTTCTGATCTAACTTCACCTACTCTGAAATCTATTTTGCAAGTGAATTATTTCTAAGAGATTCCTTTCTTCCATCAGTACTATGGGAGCAGATGGATAAATCCTGAAAAGTTTCTCCTACCGGTCTTTGTGCTAATGCCTGAAAGTACAACTTGCCTGGATGTGTTTGGAGAGTGTTAATATCACTTTCTCTCTAAAAGGAAATGCAAATAGAGTAGAAAAACTATTGGAAATTCAGTCTATGCTATAATGACCAGAGAAAGAAACTGCAATGCAGGAATCCTGCCTCTTATTCCCTCCCCCGTGAGTAAGTATCTCCAATTCTTAGGTGTTGTATTAGGAATAATGATGTGAAATCTTAGACTAGCCATTGAAAAAGAGTCCATGCATGTTAGATTTTAGCCAAAAATCAAAGCTAATTGCATTGTTTGGAGGAATCATAAACTACTTCTTCCCTTTCCTTATTGCCATTTAACAAAAGAAAAGCCATTAACTACCTTTGGGGAAGCATAAATGCAGTTGTCACCATAGTAACCCAAAGAGCAAATATTCGTGGGTAGCTGAGAAAATTACAAGAAATGGTTTGCACTAAGAAAGCGAATTTAATCTTGGCATTGTTAAACTGAGGGGAAAAAACACTTACTTGAAACACAGAAGAGGGGAATATCAAGCCTGAAGTGCCACTGTCACCTTATGTCAAATAGCTGTCTGGCAACAGCACCAGATGCCCTAGTGGCTGAGTTCTAAAGATGAATCAGATCATCAGTCTCAGGATGATGTCTAAGCAATAACTTAAGGTATCTTTCTACATTGTAATGGTCAATAGGCTCTTTACTGGCATTCTCACCGCCTCCATCTGCAAACAATAATAATAATATCACATATCTCTGAATGTTTGTTTAATGCCTATGTTCCTAACTAGGGTGTAAGGCTTATGAGGGCAGGAACTGTTACTATTTCACTCATCATATTATCTCCAGTACTATCACAGTTCAATAAAGATGGGTTGAATAATTGTCTGCATTTATGCAGGTGAGAAACTGTAAAACAAATCTTGGAATCAGCTTATGTGCACTTTCCTAGTGTCATAAGATCATGTAAGCCTGAACATGGAAAGAATCATCTGATTTCACTATTGACTAAAGAAATGAGCAAATGAATGAATGGGTCTTCCAACTCAGTTTTATGTATAGGTATAACTCCCAAACCTTTGCTCTTTCCATGCTTCGAGAGTGCATGAAGAAGGGAGGGAAGAGAAGGCAGTGGGGGGAAAGGAGAGTAGAATTTAGGAGAGCAATTTTATTAACCATAAGCACTAATTTTAGATGCTTTCATAATATTTATTTCTGATTTAATGCAAACAAAAACCCTCATAAGTATAAAATGCTGGATTTTCTTCATTCATTGTCAGGCAACAAATGTTTATTTATTACCTACTGTGTGCATAAGCGGTGCTATGTACTTGGAATGCAGCATGAGCAAAATCACATATTGTACCTATTCACATGGAATCAAGACTTCAGTGGATGACATACATATTTACCAAATAATATCCAAATTTAATAAAAATTGCCATTGCAGTAACTGTTAAATGATGATATCTAGAACATTGTGTGTAAGATTGGTATTATTCTTTTCTTAAATATTTGTAAGAATTGATTGGTGAAGCTTATGGGCCTGGGGTATCTTTGTGGGGTGGATTTTAATTATGAATTCAATGCTAATAGATTTGGGAGTATTCAGGATTTTTACTTCTTTTTGCATTATTTTTGATAAATTGTGTTTTCTAAGAAATTTGTGAATTTCTTTTAAATTTAATTTAATTTTATTTATTTTATTTTTTAAATTTTTATTTTATTCTGTCAATATACATTTTTTTTAATTTAAAAAATTTTTTAATCTATTGCTGTTTATAATATTATCTTATGGGCTTTTTAATTCTATAGGACATATTTTTGCATGTAAAGAGCTATTTCTTTCAATTCATTCAATTTATTTATTTATTTTATTGATTATACAGATTCACAGGTCACAGAGCTGACCAACAGCACCTGTGTCCAAGATGTGCTGATCAGATTAGTACTGTCAGCATGCCCATCACCTTGAATTGCAATTATTTTCCATGTTCCCCACCCATCCTCTTCTCAATACCCCCTTCCCTCCTGACCCCATCCCACCCCCAGCAACCCTAGATCTCTCTTTGCAAGTCCGACATACTACTGTGGTCTTTCTTACCTTCCTTCTTTTCCTCTTAGCTCCCAGTTATGAGTGAGAACATGCAGTATTTTTCCCTCTGTGCCTGGCTGATTTCACTTAACATGATTTTCTCCAAGCTCATCCATGTTACTATGAATGACAGAATTTCATTCTTTTTTATGGTTGAGTACCATAAAAAAGTACCATTTTTTTATGGTTGAGTTCCATAGTGTATATATAACACATTTTCTTTATCCACTCGTCCATCAGTGGACATTTAAGTTGAGTCAGCTGCAATGAACATGGGAGTGCAGTGTCCCTTTGACATGATGATTTCCATTCCTTCGGGTATACACCCAGTAGTGGGATTGCTGGATCTTATGGCAGATTTATCTATAGCTGTTTGAGAAACCTCCATACTGTTTCCCACATTGGCTGTACAAATGTACAGTCTCACCAACAGTACAGAAGAGTTCTCCCTTCTCTGCATCCCTGTCAGCATTTGTTATTCTCAGTCTTTTTGATAATAGCCAGTCTAACTGGGGTGAGATGATATTTCAATGTGGTTTTAATTTGCATTTCCCTGATGATTAGTATTGTTGAGCATTGTTTCAAGTGCCTGTTGGCCATTTGTATGTCTTTTCTTGAAAAATGTCTGTTCAGCTCCTTTGCCCATTTTTTAATTGGGTTATTTCTTTTTTTTTTTTCTGTGTAGTTGTTTGATTCTTTGTATATTCTGCATATTAATTCCTTGTTAGATGCATAGTTTGCAGATATTTTCTCCCATTCTGTAGGATGTCTTTACACTTAGTTGATTGTTTACTTTGCTGTGAAGAAGGTTTTTAGTTTGATATAATCACATTTATTTATCTATTCTTGTGTTGCTTGTGTTTGGGGGTCTTATTCATAAAGTCTTTTCCCAGTCCTACTTTCTATAGTGTTTCCCCTATGTTTTCTTTTAGTAGTTTTATAATTTCGGGTCTTATACTTAAGTCTTTAACCCATTTTGAGTTGATTATGGTATATGGCAAGAGGTACAGGTCTAGTTTTGTTCTTCTGCATATGGATGTCCAATTTTCCCAGCACCATTTATTGAAGAGGCAGTCTTTTCCCCAATGTTTGTTCTTGGTGCCTTTGACCCACATACAGGTCTCAAAATCTCATCTTGGTCCAAATTCATCTGGTCAATTCTAGAAGTCAAGTATAATTGCTGACAAGCCTAAAGCAGAAAATTCTTCTTTTGGTCTAAAATTGCTTCAAAGTTATAATCTTTCTGCCTTGGCAATATATGGCCAGTGTTTATGCTTTAAACTCTACTGTTATTCCTATGTGCAATATAGAGACTGCTGCACATCCACACAGCTCTACTGTGATAGTCCCTCTGAATGCAAAGGCTCAGCTGCAGTGGAAGGGTTTGAGAGTCCTTCATTGATCTAGGCAGAAAACCTAAATGTTGAGTGCTGCACTTCTTGATAGAGTAGAGCTGACAAAACAATTTTTGAGGTACAGGTGATACCATCATTTTTATAAAGTGTTTTGGAAAAGAAAATAATATATCCACTAATCAAAAGCCCTTTCTTTCATAGTTGCTTTTTCTATCCCAGTACAATATACTCCCTCCAGTTACACTCACTCTCTGGGGTCTAGAATTGGGTTAGTTGGTTAGCTGGGATACTGAAATTTTCTAGTCAGTATTTCATTCCTACTATGAGTTCTCCAGCCGCCACTAATGTAAAATGAGACCTGGGCCCACTGTGTATGATTCCACATTTTTTACTTATCTTAAATCCTAACCACGTAACTGCAGTAGTTATAGCACAACTATGGTTCTAGGTTACCTGTGCCCTTGAAGTCAATGATTCCACCTGTTACTAGCAAATTGATCATGAGATTTTATCATTGTTGTAAAGAGTGCCAATCTGTACATGAAATGTACAAAACCTGGTAATACAGTTGTCTCACAGCCAGAATTAATGCTAATGCAAAAAACCTGCTAGGAAAACATATGACAGCAATTAGGCATTCCCAAGAGCAGCACATGTTCAAAGTGGATTTACCTTTGCTCCCCCCTGTCAAAGACTGCGGCTCTGATGTACCATGGTAGTCTGGATCTCTTCATGTTCATCTCTCTAGATTTTTGAGAAGAGAATGATTATTGCTAGCCAATCATGGTGGTATCAGTATCTTCTGATCTTTGGCCAGGGCCTCTGTGCATGTATGGTATTGTAGGAGCAGAGTAAGATAATGGTCCAGAGCCTAGGCACTGGGGAACAATGCTGGGTTCAGATCCTGCCTCTCCTTATTCGAGTTTTGGAAGCAAATTTCCTAACCTCTCCGAGCTTCTGTTTTTCTCATTTGTAAAATGGATATTATAATAATACCTAACTTTGGGGGATGTTTAGAGAATTAAATGAGATAATTGGCATTAAGCACTTAGTACAGTGACTAGCCCATAGTGAGCTCTCACTGTACATTAGTATTATTTTTATACTACTACTAAGAAGAGCATCTTCTTTTTATAAAACTGTGTAATTTATCTATTTATTTATTTATTTTGGCAGCTGGCCAGTATGGGGATCCAAACCTGTGACCTTGGGGTTATAAGGCTACAGTCTAATGTAAATTTATTTTAAATGAATTAAACTCAAAGATGTTATAGTAACTAAGAACCTGCTGAGTTCAGACTTAAGGTTTTTGTAGATGAAAATCTTTGTCATGGTCAAAGAGCATGTTATAGTGCTGCTTCTTGTCCTCTCATATGAATACAATTTCTGTCCTCTGCTGTAACAGACTGACCCCTCATTGTCTGCCTACTCTGCTTGCCTGGGATATGTGAGCTATGCCAAGCCTCCCTTACCTATGAATACTTCCTCACACTGCTCCCGGCATTTCTCTCCCACAACATACTTGATACTGTTATCACAATACTCATGGACATTTTCCTCTCTTTCTTCCCTTTCAATAAGAATTCTTAATTGTGCAGACTCAGGACTGAGAGTTACCAAGATGCCTGAACACACACACATTCATTCATGATCATATAATTTATAGAGTCTTTTCCAAAGCATTAAAGACCTAAGCACTCTTATAAGATCAACCAGAATTTTTTCTAAGGTTGAAATAGTACTCTCATTCATTTTTATAAGATTTTTTGAAGACAAAAGGAAATATTATGTGGGGTTTTCTTGTTTCCTAGTGGATGGGCAGCGGATGATTGAAGACCGTTCATTGCTCAGTCCTGACACCGCCTTTCCCCATTGGGTCTCTGTGAGAGTCATGTGCTTTGGACATCTTTGAAAAGAATCTTCCGAGGCCTCGGCATCTCATCTGGGTCTCCTGAATCCCACCTAGATCTGTGGTGAACTCTCATCTATCACAATGAGCAAAAAATTCCTGGGCACCTGGAAACTCGTCTCCAGTGAGCACTTTGATGATTACATGAAAGCTCTGGGTAAGAAATGCTTTTTGTTGCTCTGCCTGAGAGGATTCTTTCTAAGGAAGCTGCATGACATTTCCTTCTAACACCTTTTCCAAGAGACTGAGGAAGTTCACACAGGCTGAAATACAGTCCTCTCCTGGGATTGATCTTCTGCTGTGTCATTCAGATAATTTGTTTGCATTTTATTTGTGGTAATTTAAATAGATTTTAATTTAAGTGAGAACTACTTAAATGCATGGAGCTCGCACTGATTTTAAAGGCAGTTCCATACCAATAAGTTTTTGATTGCAGACCCAGAGGAAAGAAATTTTAGAAGCTTAGGCAACCCATTTTCTGGCTTTCCTGAAAGCTAGTTTTATAACTAAAATGCTTATAAAATAAGGAGCTGAATATATTGCAGATACTAGAAAACCTCAATTTAAAATTTTGATGTTTAGCTAAACTAAAAGTTTTTCCTTTCTACCTCTAGGATGTCCATTATTACCTAATCATATAGATACAGAGAGTTTGAAAAACAAAAATGGTTCCTAAAATAGGATGTTCATAGCCTAGGGAAGTTATCAAGAGAAAAATAAATGGGGTTGAGGAAGTGAGTTCAAACTCAGTTACAGTAACATCAGACTTCCCTGGAGTTGGCGCAGTAGATGGAGATGTTACAACAACTTTATTTTATTCTACTTCTAGAGAATGTTCTGTGGATATGAGCACAATAGATGTGAAGAGTCTCTGGAAGTTTCCAGAGCTGTGTAAATATAATAGAGAGTAAAGCCAATGACCTCAGGTTGCCATGCTTGTCAAAATGCATGTAGCTTTACTTAACTGTTTAGAAAGTATGTATAAATGGTTCTATTTTTACATAAAATCAGCAAAATTGTGTCATTGTTGCCTGGAATGAGAACTTATGGAGATAGATCCATACTTTGAGATTGGTTATATTTAAAGACTTCACTTTACAGCTGAGAAAAAAGCAAAATATAAGAAAGTCTCAATGAAGGCCCCTCTAACTCTTCCGTTGTTTTCAAATTTTAGGATGCATAAGTGGTAAATGCAGATTCTTGGGCTCTATCCCAGAGACTATGATTTAGTTTAGAAAACATTATACTAAACCATAAGATAACAACAGAAGATTAAACAGAATTAGAATAAAAAATATAGTTCACAGTTTATTACCTGTAACTTTTTACTTTTTATTTAGTGTAGACATAGATATAAAAGGTTTTGGGTTTTTTTGTTTTTGTCTCTGTTTTTGTTTTCCTAATAGAGAAAAAGTAAACCCAGGCATTGGGATGTCTAACTAGAGCCTTAGGAAACTAGTTTTTCTTTCACATATTTCTTATTTGACATTTTTCTGTTTTCATGTATACCTATACAGTCGTGGTAATAATAGTAATAAAACGTAAGAGACTAATTTTGTTTTGCTTTTCAAATGTAGAAGTTTTAAAAGATCATTTTACTTATCTGTGATCATTTGTAATGATACATATCTTGAAGGAAGATGGACAGGGTTTTTCTACCAGCTGGGTTTAGGAGCCACAAAATTTCAGAAAGGAGATTCTATCAAAGATATGAGAATTCTTTTCTATACCCATAATATATTAGAAAGGGAAAAATACCATGGGACAATATTTATATGTCATATTTTCATTTAAAAATACATAGCTATAGTATTTCTATGTGCAAATTAAAATATCTAGAATGTTTCATACAAATCTATAATTAGTGATTTTCAATGGGGAGTAGGATTAAATGTGGTAAAAGTGGACAAACTGCACTATTCTGGCTGAATCCTTTTACTCTTTAAAATCTGCAGACATTACTTTTGTAATAAAAAAAAACCTTAAATGTTCAAGTACTAGACATGTATTCCCATTGGCTGATGACACATAGAAGGAAGCTCTTATTACTAAGTGATACAACCTGCCACCTGCACACCTAGGGCACCACTGAGCACAGAATGTGGCCAGCACAGTTTCTCCAGGTATGCGCTCTTGGTCAACACAATTCTAACACTATCTTGATTTTCAGGTGTGGGGTTGGCCACCAGAAAACTGGGAAATTTGGCCAAACCCAGAGTGATCATCAGCAAGAAAGGGGATATGCACAGTTTCTCCAGGTATGCGCTCTTGGTCAACACAATTCTAACACTATCTTGATTTTCAGGTGTGGGGTTAGCCACCAGAAAACTGGGAAATTTGGCCAAACCCAGAGTGATCATCAGCAAGAAAGGGGATATTATAACAATACGAACTGAAAGTACCTTTAAAAATACAGAAATCTCCTTCAGGCTAGGCCAGGAATTTGAAGAAACCACAGCTGACAATAGGAAAACCAAGGTAATCTTTAATATTTCTCTTCAAAGTTGGCCCAGTTGACTGCTTGAAAAAGAGGATTATTCCTGCTAGTGTTTAAAGGGTAGACTGCACTCTATTGAAAATGAATGTGCCTCATGAGACATCTATTATAGATATAGTTCAATATTGAATGTTTTGCTTCTTTAATCAACCAAAGTCCAGTCAAGTCGATTATATGAACTTGTCTTTGCAGAGCATTGTAACCCTGGAGAGAGGCTCATTGAATCAAGTGCAGAAATGGGATGGCAAAGAGACAACCATAAAGAGGAAGTTGGTGGATGGAAAAATGGTAGTGGTAAGAGTATTTTCACTTCTAAATAGAGAAATAATGCTTTATAAATAAATCGATTGTATTATTTTCAAAGTATATTTAGTTCTCTGGAATACAAATGAATAAAAATGGCTGAGAATAAAGTCAGAGTTAATGCTTGAGTGGTATTTAAACCATGGAAGACTCTCTTTATGTACTTCAAGTACTGGCCCAGGATTTTAGAAATAAAAAGGCCGATTTGTTGTTTTAGAAATAACAATACCTAAAAATGGTAGTAAAGTTGAAGAAAGTTTGGATAAATCTTACTAGTTTGTACTCACGAAGAAAAAGCAAGTCTAAATATTTTAAAAGCAAAATACACTCTGAAAGGCTCAATTGTAAAATATTTGCAGATATCTAAGTATTTTGCTTTCAAAAATACATAGTAACTTAGACTAGCATGTCAACAATGCAAGCTGAACTCATTGGAGACCTTTTCTAATCGGCAGATAAGAATGATGACAAAGTTTACAGTAGATGACCTCCAATGAGTTTTCTAAAGTTGAGGCTTTGCGCTTACTAATTAACACATACATTTAATATAAACAGACTAATGAAATGTTTTGAATGTTTGTTTCTTCGGTACAGTGGTTCTTAGCCCTTGCTGTGCAGTAGATTTACATGGGGAGTAAATACCAGTATGGGAGCCCCAACACAAAACAATTATATGCAAATCTCTGGGCGGGGGGAGAAGCAACAGTATATTTAAATGTCCCCGAGGTAATGCAAATGTGCAGATAGTTTTAGTAGATTTAAATGCATACAAATTAAACATAAAAACTTGCCACTTTCAAAAAAATTCTTTTACAGTAACACAGATCTACTTTAAAACGGTCTTTCCTATTTCAACGGTCATAATTCTGAATTACTACAGACTGACATACTGATATTTTACCCTTTCCTAAATGTAATCTTATAAGTTTATTTTGAATTTCAATTTTTAAAATTCAGTTATTTTTTAATTGACATGTATCGATTGTACATATTTATGGTGTACAGAGTTATATTTCAGTACATGACTATAATGTGTGATGATCAAATCAGGTTAACTAGCATATTCATCCATTGCAAAAAGTTATCATGAATTTCTATTTTTATTATAAATTTGATGTTCTCTGGTTTGAGTTTTAGATACTCAACTAAATCTTCCTCTTTTTTAAGGAATGTAAGATGAAGGGCGTGGTCTGCACCAGAATCTATGAGAAACTCTGAGAAAATCATTTCCTCATTGGAGTGCTATTCGATCATTTCATGTTAGAAATCAATTTCTTCAATTGGCAAGATCTGACAACACTGCAGTTTGCTTGTTTGTTTGTTTTTGGTTTTGTTTTTATGTCAGATAGGCAAAGGCCTAAACTGAGGATTAATCTAAAATTTAGTGTTATCTAAACATTTTCCATTTGCGTGCAGGTCTTTCCTACATTAAACGATATATGTATATTGATCAGATCTAAAACAGTTGATAATGTCATTTAATTAACTGTGAAATTCTAACCTATGTTCTACTTTGTATATTTGAAATAATAATAAGAAGGAAAGAATTGGTTAATGAAAGGAAGTAAAAGTATTGATCAGGGGCAGCAAATTCAAATGCCTTCAGGGGCCAGAAGATTTATGAGGAAGGAAGATCAGAAATGAGGCAATTCAGGAGACAACACAGTTTTCAATCAAGGAGTTCTAGTCTCAGCTAAAAGGGGCAATCTTTACTCTACTCCAGCCAATTTTTAAAATTGAGGGGTATTTTATAGACAGTGAAATGCACTAATTTTAAGGGTAGAGTTCAATCTGTTGTGACAAGTGCATGCATCCATATAACTTACACCTGATAAAGATACAAAACATTTCCTTAATCCCAGAAAGTTTTTCCATGCCCCTTCCCAGTCAATGTCCTGCCCTAACCCACCCCTACCAAAAGCCAGTAGCGATTTGGTTTCTATCACCATAGATTAGTTTTGCCCTTTTTAAATTCAGCACAATGTTTTTGAGATTCATCCATTCTGTTACATACAGCAGTAGTGTGTTCCTTTTCAATGCTGAGCAATATTCATTGTAGGAATATAGCACAGTTTATTTATCCATTATTTTGCTAACACAACTGGGCTGTTTTTAATTTTTTGCTACTATGAATAAAACTGCTACAAACATTCTTGCACAAGACTTTTTGTGGAAAACGAGTTTCTCTCTTTTGTATAAATAAGTAGTCATAGAATTACTGAGTCTACTCATTTTTGACAGGCAGCAATGGGGGACCACTGTGTCCAAGTAACAGTGAAACTATTTCAGACATACGTTATGATTGATCAAATGAGAAAATGTGCTGCTGTTGATGGGAGACAGGATGTTCATTGTGGAAGAAGGAATATACAAATATGGAATGAGAGAAGGCAAGAAAGAAACCATGCAAGAATGGAATGAAATAAATATAAATTCAAGGTTTCTAAACCAGGTATATGTATGTATAATTGCACATGTATATCTGTATGCATATGTGTGTGATGTGTACATGTATTTATGTGTGTGAATATGTGTATACACATGCATGTATTTCCTAGATCTATCTGTCAAAAGAGCTTAGAAACAAAGACACATCAGTAGGAATGAGCATACTTAGCATTCAGATCTTGGTGTCCCATATTATTCCCCACTGAAAGGAACTAGTGTTCCTTGAATAAATGGTTGATTCCAAAGGAAAGGCAGGGAAGGCACAAGATAAGCCTGAAATGTCTGGTTACACCAGAAAGTGAAATGTTCAGAGGCATGTCACCAAAACTTGGGAGCCAGCTTGAAGGTGCCCCCTTTGGTCAAACCTGAGACAATCTGAGTGCAAAATAATTGAGAAAAATAATAAATTATAAACCACTGAGAAAAAATGAGTCCATGTATCCACACTGATAATGATAGATAGGTAGATGATAGATAGATAGATAGATAGATAGATAGATAGATAGATAGATAGACAGACAGACAAGGAGGTGTCTTCCTTGCAGTAGAATGCCATGGGCCAACTGATAAATGTGAAAGGAATTCTGAAATTGGAAAACCATCATTTTTCAATCATCACAGTGAAGATGGCTCAGGTAAGAATTATCATTGGATTCTAAAGCTAGGAGAAATTTTTATTAAGAGCAGGATGTGTGTTTGGTCTTAAAAATATCTCCTCACAGATTGCACATTAGTTGCAAGGGAAAAAATTGTAGCTAGGCAGTGAAAAAATTGGACAACCTCTTAACTGGGTTATGAAAATTAACCTCACCAATAAAGGGTTGATGAACAACGTGTGCCTTCAAAAATGATACCCTGTGAAGGAAGCAATATCATTTATGTAGTATTCCGGCCTGGAATCCACATCTGAATTCAATCATGAGAGAACATCAGACAAACTTTAAATGAAGATTGTTCTATTTATAAAAGGGAGAGAGGTGTTGACTGAATTCTTCAAAAATGTCAGTATCACAGAAGACAAAAAGCTGTGGAAATGTTCCAGATTAAATTATACTAAAAACACATGACAACTAAATGAAGTAAGTGATCCTAGACGGGCTCCTGTACTACAGGTAATTTAAACCCTCCAAGGAATAATAAATATTAGGTCATTTGGCAAATTGGAGTATAGGTTGTAGATTAGATAAAAAGTATATTGTGATTAAATTTTTTAAATCCCTATTCTTGGGAAATATACACTGAAGTATTTTGAGGTAATGGGTCATAGTGTATGCAATTTACTCTCAAAAAACCCAGAAATATACTTATGTGTGTGTTTGTGTGTGTGTGTGAGTACACGTGTACATACACAAAGAAAGAGAGCAATTGATAAAACAAATGGGGTAAAATTTAATAGAGGAATCTGAAAGAAAAGTGTATGTGTTTTCTTTGAATTAGTCTGATTCTGGCAACTTTTCTGCAAGTTGGAAATTATTTCAAAATAAAATTTTTTAAAAAACAAAAAAATTTTTTTAAAAAACAAAACACAACAGCCAAAAATACCTGCACTTGGAAAGCCCTTCTCCTTTAGTCTACAAGCATCTGGGAGGAATCATTAACCTAGATGTGGGTTTTTTGGTTTTAGTTTTGTTTTGTCTCCAAACAGATAAACCCATAAAAAGAAAAGTTTAAAAACTGTGTTGCTATTTTTAGAGATTTATGGTAATATGACTTGTTATAAAATGTAATTCTCAATAAATATAATTGCTCTATTATACAAAAGTCATAGGTGCTGTTTACTTTCATAACAGGAAAATTGGAACTACACTGTTAATGAGGAAGTCAAAATAATCTTTCAGCAGGTGGTACATGCTACTAGATTTAAAAATGATTTTCAAATAACTGTAAGAAAGAGGGAAAAAATCAAAACTTGATGTCTTAGTTCACTTAAATTTCTATAACAAAATACCCTGAACAGGGTAGCTTATAAACAACACAAATCTATTTCTCACAGTTCTGGAGATGGGGAAGTCCCAGATCAAGGTGCAGCAGATTCTATATTTGATGAGGGCCCATTTCCCGGTTCATGGATGGCATCTTCTGGCTGTGTCCTCACAGGGTCAAAGGGGCAAATAAACTGCCCTGGGCCTCTTTTATAATGGAACTAATCTCACTCATGAGGGCTCTTCTCTCATGACCTAATCACCTCCCTGAAGACCCCAACTCTTCATACTATCACATGGGGGTTAAGATTTCAACATGTGAGTTTGGGGGGGACACAAATTCCTATCATAGCATTTGAGTTCTGTAAGAATGTGGTTAAGAGCACAGAGTGCCTAGATCAAATTCCAATTCACTACTTACTAGCTGTGCACCATTGGGCAATTTACTTAACCTCTCTGCTCCTCAGTTCCTTCATCTGTAAAAAATGGGGCTAATAGAACATACCTCAAAGAGCTGTGAAAAGTAAATAGGTTAATGTACGTAAGGTACTTGGAACAGTGCTTGACACAGAAAAAGCATTGTGGAAGTGTCTTCTGTTTTTATTATTTATCTAGTTATATGATGTTCAAGTAGATCATTTTATTATAGTTCAAAATGAAGAGAACTTCACAAGATCTCAGAGCTGTTGATGTTCTAAATGATTTGCGCACCAACTGACAAAATTTATTAAGAATACTGCTTACACAAAAGTAAAAACAATCAAGAAATCTATTAAGATTAATTCATAGATAGGCCAACAAATATTGCTACATGGATGGCATCTTCTGGCTGTGTCCTCACAGGGTCAAAGGGGCAAATAAACTGCCCTGGGCCTCTTTTATAATGGAACTAATCTCACTCATGAGGGCTCTTCTCTCATGACCTAATCACCTCCCTGAAGACCCCAACTCTTCATACTATCACATGGGGGTTAAGATTTCAACATGTGAGTTTGGGGGGGACACAAATTCCTATCATAGCATTTGAGTTCTGTAAGAATGTGGTTAAGAGCACAGAGTGCCTAGATCAAATTCCAATTCACTACTTACTAGCTGTGCACCATTGGGCAATTTACTTAACCTCTCTGCTCCTCAGTTCCTTCATCTGTAAAAAATGGGGCTAATAGAACATACCTCAAAGAGCTGTGAAAAGTAAATAGGTTAATGTACGTAAGGTACTTGGAACAGTGCTTGACACAGAAAAAGCATTGTGGAAGTGTCTTCTGTTTTTATTATTTATCTAGTTATATGATGTTCAAGTAGATCATTTTATTATAGTTCAAAATGAAGAGAACTTCACAAGATCTCAGAGCTGTTGATGTTCTAAATGATTTGCGCACCAACTGACAAAATTTATTAAGAATACTGCTTACACAAAAGTAAAAACAATCAAGAAATCTATTAAGATTAATTCATAGATAGGCCAACAAATATTGCTATGTAACGCTGCTAACTAAGCAACTTTTAAAAATAGGAATTGATAATTATCTACTCTAACCTAAATACGGCCAAAATAAATACATTTTATCCCAAAAGAATAAGTAACTTTTTTTTGTCAACCAGATAGTGATTGGCATACACAATCTACTTCTCTTAGAAGCTGTGGTGTGCTGGAGCTAGCTAAAATTGATTTTTAAGAGCTGATTGTTAAATTTTCAGGAATTTGGTAAGCCAGTTGTTAAAGCATTGGTAGCTTGAAATCAGCTATAATGGGCTTATTTACACCAGGGAGACAGGCAAACACAACTAGACAAGGCTTTTGCTTCTGAGGGGTTGGTTTTACACACTCGCTAGCACACACTGCCTTCAAATAGCCTAGTACTTGGATTTTATTAATGGAAGTCTTAGTTTCTTTCTGGCCATAATATTTCTAATTTTTGTCTAAATATTTATTGTTTAATTTATTAAAAAGTCACTTCTGTTTAGTTTTTAGGATGACTTCTGATCCAAGTTTACCTTTCTAAGCAGGCTGCACGTTAGAATCGCCTTGAAGTTTTTAAACATATGAATCCCGAGATCACACCTGGACCCATTGAATCATATAATCTATGGGTGATGAATGAGACCCACACATCACTATTGTCAAAAAGTAAACTCAGGGCCGGCCCGGTGGCACACTGCTACAGTGCGCCGCTTGAGAGCGCGGCGGCGCTCCCGCCGAGGGTTCGGATCCCACATACAGACTGGTTCCCGCTCACTGGCTGAGCGAGGTGCGGGCGCCACACCGAGGGTTGCGATCCCATTGCCGGTCCCGGTCCGGTGCGGGCATGACACTGAGGGTTGCGATCCGTTGCCGGACACGAAAAAAGACAAAAAAAAAAAGAAAACTCAGGCACCTCAACATTTTTTTTTTTTTTTGTCCTTTTTGAGACCGGCCGCACCGCGCTCAGCCACTGGGCACTGTGAGCGCACCGATCATCCCTATATAGGATCCAAACCCACAGTGGGAGCGCAGCTGCACTCCCAGCACCGCACTCTCCCGAGTGCGCCACTGGCTCGGCCCCACCTCAACATTTTATAGAGTTTGAGTAAAGAGCAATTCATGAACCAGGCAGTGCTAAACCACAATCGGTTTGGGCTCTATCCACGGGGCATTAAGGGAAAATCTTTTACAAGGTGTTTTCAGAAGCAGAACAAAGAAGATATTTGATTGGTTAAAGTGGAAAGTCCCTTGTTAGAGGATAGGTGGAAGTTTCTGGCTGATAAGGTGCCTAGTTACAGGTTATTTGTCAGTTTCTGATGAATAGTCTCTGGT